CAGCAACCTCAATTCATATGCAGCCTGAACTTCCCCTGTCCTATAATGGCCATATTTGCAGGTCTGAGATTAGAACCTAGGCACCTTTGAAGAAGACATTATCTGTGCCCTACAGCATTATTTTTATTATTCTTTAAAGCCAAATTTTCCTTCTATCATTGTTCTCAGGCAGGTGTTGAAGAGAGGGGTTCACATAGGCTCATGTGACTGGGGATATAAATAATCCAGTTATAAAGGAGGTTAGCCTATAGCCTTTTATGCCTTTTCCTGCTATTATTTTATTCCTTGCAATTGAATTATAATACAGTCTAACAATGAAAAGGCGCATCATTTTGACAGCACTGACCATCCTCAGATGATGGATACATGTGTAAAAAAAAAAATGGGAGGAACAGCACAGGCAGGAAGAAAGAAGCAGAGCAGAAAAGGGATACTAGTTCAGTGGTCTCTCTCCTCTTCCCCACCCCATCAGCACCTCTAATGAGCTAGAATCCATACACTTCACACTGGTAAAGTAAAAACCTCAGTGGGTTTTAATACATTCAAAAAGTTGTGAGACCATCACTAATATATGATCCTAGAAAAGAAATCATCCATCACCCTCAAATATACCCAGTTTCCTTTGACAGTCACTCTTCATTGGGCTACAGGAAACACTGATCTATCCCTGTGAATTTGCCTAGTCTGGGCATTTCATAAATGGAATCGTGTAATATATGACCATTTGTATCTGAGTCCTTTCACTTAGCATAATGCCTTTCCTTAGCAGCTTCATTCCTTTTTATGCCCAATCATCTTCCGTTGTCTTGTTATTACAGCATTCATGGTTGATAGTCATTTTGGATTGTTTCCACTTTTTGATGATTGTGAATAATATTGCTATAAATATGCATTACAAGGTTCTGTGCCTACATGGTTTCAGTTCTCCTGGGTATATACTGGGAATATAATTTTGGGTCATTTGGTGGCTGTATGTTTAACATTCTGAGGAATTGCCAAACTGTTTTTCAAACATACAGCTGCATCATTTTGCACTCTGTGCAAAAGTGTTTGCGGCTTCCATATCTCCCCAGTCTCACCCACACTTACATTTTTCTGTCTTTTGATTAGAGACGATGGACTGGTGGATATGAAGTGGTATCTCTGTGTGGTTTTGATTGGCATTTCAGTAATGACTAATGGCACTGAGCATCTTTTCATGGGCTTTGCAGGGTTATCTTTCCAGCTTTACTGAAACCAACTCAAGCATTCAACAATGATGAACACTATTGATGATTCCCTCTTTCTTCAAATTCTCCCTCCTCTGGGCTTCTGGAAGTTATCATCTTTTGGTTTATATACTTATTGTGTTTGTAGGATGAGTTCTACTTCTCTTCCTTAGAAGGCTCTGAGCTGGCTTTATCATGATTTCCCTGTCCTGAGAGGCTGAGTTGGTTGTCAGAATCCTATGATTAGGTTGTCACTTAAGAACTTATGTCAATATATCATGTATCAGGAGGAGGGGAGATCATGCCCAAAAGGAAAAATCACCTAGACAGTGAGCTGTTTACTGGATTTGGTATCATGACAAGTTTCAAATGGTTACCAGGGATGGAAAGTGGCAAGGACTGAATGGTAGCAGCCTATAGAAATAGCTCTGATGAGTAAGCCCAGAGGAGGAAGGTATAGAAAGGGAATCAGAGACAGGTCCAGACCCAGGATTCACTGACATGGCCTTAAGAATGGACAGAGAGGGTGATCAGTGCCAAAAACCTGGGCAGCATATGGAGATAGGTCTTCACATAACATAGGCCAAATCTGGTGTTACTTCAGTGCATTTCACAAGAGTAGGTCTAAGAACAAAGGGGTTGTCTTAGTCAGTGGCTCTCAAAGTGTGACCCTTGAGCAGCATCACTTGGGAAATTATTAGAAAATAAATTAGAAGGCCCCTAATTTTAGCAATACCTACCTATTTACTGCTGTTTGGTAATCAAAGCACCAGAAACAAATTCTGCAAAAAGAGATGCTTGAATAGCGCCCTATCCAACGGGCTTCTAAAATGCCATCCTTGCTGACATACAAACCAGTCACTGAATGTGACTTCTGTTCTTCATATTGCATTTTTAACAGTAAAGATACTCCCACTGTGTCTGCTTATACTGAGAACACTGTGCCAAGTAGCACTACAGGTGTATGACAACCATGTGCTTAGCAGACTTGATAGATTAGGCCTGTAAGGTGGGAATGTTGCAGTGCCCCTTACAGAGAAAGATGCCCAGTCACAGGCCTGCTGTTGCAAGGTAACACAGCTAGCACAAGGAGGTCCAACTGCATTGTGCATACTGTACTCTAGTTACGAGCTGTTACTATTATATTCTATGCCCTATGGTAGTTTGAGTACAGAGCATTGATCTGAAAATTGTGATGACTTGTGTGTAAGAAATGGGGTGGAAAACATGTGGATAACATCAAGGAAGAAAGAGAAAAATGGTCTTGATGAGGAAGTGTGGGAACCTGCCCCACCGGGAACTTAGGTCACCTGTGAAGAGGTGGCCTGGAACTGAAGAAAGGCAAGCCCATTCCCCAGACTCCCTCTTATCGGGAGACAATCAGGCGCAGCGGGGAGTCAAGTCAAGCAAGAACTCGTTTATTGATAGGCAGTAAGCCTCTTTTATACCAGAAAACCTCAGAACCCTAGGAGGGGGATGAAGGAACCAACCAATCATTTTAAAGGTCACCCTATTTACAAGTTGTTTATGCCCTGACACCATCTCCTGTTTTTAGTATCTTATTTTAGCATAAATAACTTGAGCTAACTTCCTTTCTCACCATTTGTATTTAATCTCCATACAAACAACCCAAGCTAACTTCTTCTTAGTCATCCTTTGTATCTATTCTCTGTACAAACAGCTTAAACTAACTTCCTCTGGTACCATTTGTATCCACTCTCTGTGTAAACAGCTTAAAGTTTAAGCTCTGTTTATCTAAATTTCTTTTGGCACCCTCTTTGCAGCCCATGTATGCCCCACAAGGAAGGAAAGGAGGAAAATAAAAAAGTATTATATCAAGATTTGCAAGTGAAGACTGGGTGGGCTCTCACCCTTGTCCTCTCTGGTCTGATGTCTGAATCATTCAACTACTGTGCATGGCTCATTTCTTCTTGGACCCATGTTGCATTGCTTTCTTTTAAGAATTTGGTTCCTGGGTCGTTTGTAACTTATTTCTCCATGTCTGTTTGTTTCTCTCTCTTTGCTCACATAGTCTGAGACTTAAGTATGCCTGTTGTCCCAGTTGCTGAAGGGTTTGAGATTGGGTTCATCATTGACTGAAGGATATTTTGACAGAAATGTGTCCCTGTTTGGGGACCATGTGCTCAGGAACTGATGTGAAACTCCTCTTTGTTTCATTCAACTTGGACAGCCTAGCTTGCTACCTCTCCTACAATAGCTTATCATTCTCCCTTCCTTGTACACAAAGTCATAGAGACATTTCCTGTTCTGTTCTCTGGAGGTCCATGGTTGTAGCCCAACCACACTAATCAAAGGGTGCGGGTGTTTCAGGATGTGCTTTGATTCTTAGCCTGTTGTTTCATACTTTGTCTTTTCCATTCTCTGCAATTAATAATAAAAGAAGAAATAAGCTGGGCAGTGGTGGCACATGCCTTTAATCCCAGCACTTGGGAGGCAGAGGCAGGTAGATCTCTGTGAGTTCGAGGCCAGCCTGGGTTACAGAGTGAGTTCAGGAAAGGCGCAAAGCTACGCAGAGATGCCCTGTCTCAAAAAGTCAATATATATATATATATATATATATATATATATATATATATATATATATATATATATATATCCAGGGCATGAATAAGGTTTGGGTATAAAGAGATACAATAGATGCCATTGGTAGAGTAAAACTTTCAAATAGCAGTTTAGCCTTGAAGAATATACATTGAATTAGAAATGCTGTGATCCTTGAGTCATGATCTCTGACTGGTAAGACTGCTGTGTCTATTACCTGGGTGCTTTAGTAGACTAGACCAGGAATACGAGGGATTTAAAAGATTAAGTGAAGGCCAGTAAGATGACTCATCAGTAAAGGTACTTGCTGCCAAGACTGACAGCCAGAGTTCAATCCCCAAAATGCACAAGGTAGAAGGAGAGAACCTGTTGCCAATTGTCCTCTGACCTTCACACATACACACACACACACACACACACACACACACACACACACACACACAGAGAGAGAGAGAGAGAGAGAGAGAGAGAGAGAGAGAGAGAGAGAGAATTTAATTTTAAACTTCTAAAAAAAGATTAAGTTCATAGAATTAATGTGTTTGCTGGTAATGAACAAGAGGACAAGAGCCATGTGACATCATTTCCTGTGAAGACTCTACCACTTTCTTTGGAGCTGGAGCCCTGACCTCTCTTAATATTAGTTTCTCCTTCTGTAAAATGAAGATCACTTCAGAAAGGAATTGTGGGAATACTAAATGAAATACTGTCCAGTACTAGTACAAGCTCTGGTTGTCATAGAAAATAAGAATGAGTGAGAACTGTCTGTCTTACAGTTATATAATTATTATCCAAAGGTAGTGTTCTTGATTTGGCCCATACTGTTTCCTCCCTTCACTAATTCACGGGTTACTTATGCAGCTCTCTGTTGGCTGATTCTTATCTCTTGTCAGTTTCAGAGTCACAACAGCCATCTCTGCAGACACCTGTCATTTCAAAGCACTGGCTAACTACAGCCCAGACTGACAGTGACGAATAGCTCCACAGATCCTGTAATGTACTCTGACATTTCCCAGAAACTCCCGTATGCCACCACATTGTGTCCCTCTTGTTTTGTGCTTCTTTACTTTTGGCAGATTTCAGATATAGTTTCTGAAGGTGAACATCATCTTCCTCTGAAAAATAATCCAACAAGAACCAGTGGCGAGTAATTGGCCTTCAGGGAAGTGTCACTGACAAGTCAAAAGATAGAAGGTGAATTAAATACACTTTTTCTTTCTTTTATACTTTCAGCATGTACATGTCCACATTCTTCCAAGGAAAGCAGGGGACTTCCGCAGCAATGACAACATCTATGATGAGGTGAGTCTGTCCTTTGTGACCTTATTATTTGATTACAGGGCCTGTTGGTATGATGAAATCAACCCAGTTAACCAGATGTCACCCCAGACATGATCTAAAATGGTATTCTACCCAGTAGGACTTGAGAAGTAGCAGAAGAAGCTAACAGGCTAAGAGTGACCATCAGGGGTAAAGTAAATGAGTTATAATGATTTTTTTAAACTGATGAAACCCAATAGCAAACCAAGTGTTCTTGTGATTTCTGCTTTGTCATGTTTACCAGGACACTTAATATATGTGTGAAGACATGACCCTGAATCTCCACAGTAAAAATCAAGCAGAATGACATATGATTCTTTGAGATGAATGTGCTAACTTTGGGAGCTGGGGAGATGGCTCAGGGGATAAATGACTTCCAATGTAAGCATAAGAGCCTGAGTTTGCTAGAACCCTAGCAGCCCTATAAAAAGCTGGGAATGGCAGTACATGCATGTGTGTAACCCAAGCGCTAGGAACAAAATGGTCATGAAGTAGATGGGCAGATCCCCAGTCTAGCCAAGTCAGTGAGCTACAGGGTCAACAAGACCCTATCTTAAAAAAAAAAAAGATAGGAAGTGATGAAGGAATACATATAGACAATATGTAAACTGAAATGACTTTGCATTTTCTTCTAACCTATTCTATCATAGGCAGTGTTCCACATAGCATAGGTAGACATTAGAAGATTCTTATGTGGACAAGACCCTAGAGTAGAATTGTGCAGCCCCTCTGTGCCAACCTCTGGCATATGTGCATACATATGCATGCACACTAGCATGTACATACATACAAGCACACCATACACATACAAAGAACATGCTGCCTTTGCATTTAGCCCACTTTTGGTCTCAACTTGTCTCTCCAAAGAAGATATCTTCAAAGTGGATCTTTGAGTTATCCTCAACAGAAACGAGGTTGGTTTACCTGACATGTGTGTGACTAGTGCCTCCTAACATTCTAGAAATTGAATGATTTCTGGATCTTTCCATCCAAAGATACAAATGTCAAATCAGCACTATATGAAGCATCAGGGGCTGCACAATTCTACTCTAGGGTCTTGTCCACATGAGAACCTTCTAATGTCTACCTATGCTATGTGGAACACTGCCTATGATAGAATAGGTTAGAAGAAAATGCAAAGTCATTTCAGTTTACATATTGTCTATAGCAATGGAAGGCAAAATACATTCCATACTTTTGAGCACTGCTCAGGTATTGCCAGTGCCCTAGAGTGACAGTTTTAAAAGCACTTTGGCTGTGACAAGGAAAGCTGCTTGGCTTGATTAGCATTATCTGCCATGGGTGTCAAATAGGATAGACAGATATTAGTCATGTATTTGATATTCCTCTTCCAGCCCTTTGGAAACAATTTCCACTTTTATTTATAATTTTGATTGTTTATTATGTGTCTCTGTCAACTAGACCCATAAGAAAATAAGATCTTCAACTTGTCCCCAGGGGTCACATGGACAGTACATCTCTGCATATGTTCATAGGACTTTTCCTAATTAGCTTGGCATTAAAATGGCTATCCAAACATTGTAAATAAAGAATGTCATCATTTAATAAGTCCTGGGACTTGGTAGGTCACTTGATGTATTTTCCAACACTTGCTGTGAACTTGTGTAGGGTAGACACTGTTTAGCCGGTAGTTTTGAGTGCCTACTTGTGACCTAGTAGCTGAAACTCTTATTTTTTAGGAATATCTTTGTTTCTAGAGATTATGTTTGGGTAGATGGCAAAGGCACATGGCAATAAATTATTATATGTATCAAAACCCTCGCAGGCGATTCTGATACAGTTCTAGGTGTAAGAATAGGTACTGTGCACAGTATGGGCTCCCCAAAGCCTCTAAACACTCTAATGTGAACTCAGTTTCAGCAGATGTAGAATGCAAATTGGGGATTGGTAATGGCTTAGTCTGGGTAGGAAGAAAATCAGAGTTATAGGATCATTATACAGAGATATATTAAAAACACAAGTACACAGCTTATTAACGTAAACCAAGGTTAATAAAATGTTGCCAAGTACAGGGTATTTTAATGAATACATTACCACATGATTTATACACAAGTGAGTGCTGCTGGAGGCAGTCAAAGTGCTTGAAAACACTGTTTCCTTAGGCTGATCAGTCACCTTGAATCTTGTTTGTGTTCCAAACATGCTATTGACAGAAGCTGTGCAGATGTATTTCAGGTCCATACAAGACACAAAGGCTGACATTGCACAGTACCTGGCCTTTCATCTAATACCCTCTCACCCTTCTTGCCTGCTCTAGTGGCATCTCTAGACTCACAAATAAAGCAACACATGTTACTACATCCCATATATCCCCTCTATATGAAGAAGTAATTTCCATAAGAATGATTTTTTTCAGTCGATATTAGCTTATAAAATGCTCTACAGAGATAAAGACTAGAAAGACATTGAACAACAGATTCAAGTTCATTGCAACCTACAGAGGAGGTGACAGCCCATAAAGACACTTGACTGCTGTGTCTTAATTTTCTTATCTTTAAAATGGATAATGCTTACCACTCCAAAACTTGGCATGTGTATTATGTGACATACAGTGCCTAAAAGAGGGTGTTGAGGATTGTATATACTAAACAGTTATTAATAGGTTGTATTTATTGTTGTTGCTAATTTTGCCTTTGAACATATACAGAAGGTAAGTGATGGGTAACCTAGATTTCAAACTAGGCTGTTGGATGTCCTCATTTAGCACCATTTTCCAGAGTGAGTAAAAATCATGTTTCCAATTTTTCCTCTTCCTTCATCTGCTCAGTCTCAGTTTAATCTTCCTCTTTGTTTGAGAAGCCTCTCTTTTGAGTACATAATAAGGTAATGTCTAGCAAGAGGCATGCTGAGCATGTAGCATCATGCAGGCATTATTGGTACAAGATGCAATGTACATTAGATTGAGTGATCTTAATCAGAAATGATAGGGTGATGAGGGATGACATTCTTTATACTGATGAAATCACTCACTGTGGATTATGTATCTCTTTATGGCACAACAAACAGGCTGCCTTGAAGGGAGATGGGTGGGAAATAGAAAGAGCAAGAGACCAGCTCAGTGAGTGTAACTGCACTCCTACTATTGCAGACTTACGGCGTGATTCCAAAGAAGTCCTCCGTTAAATTTGCTCCCAAGGTTCCTTTCTTTGAGAGCACAGCTTTAAGATGAATAGTGAGAACTGAAGAAGACTCACAGAAAGTGTTCAGGATGGCAAATTCTGGAAACAGAGAAAGGGGATGAAGATTTGGGACAAAGATACTTCTAAGGGGAAACAATATTTATAGATAGAGGACAACAGAGTCACTGTTTCTAAATTCTGGAAATTTTTTGAAAGGATATTAAACATCTTCTATGTGACATTAATATGTCCTGTGTGGCTTCTAAACAGAGATCTAGGAGTATCAGGCTGCAAGGAGACAGATGTCAACATCAAAAAAGGAAAGATCACATTTAGGAAAAAGCTTCTAACAGTTAGAGTGACCTTTGTGTGAAAGGGTGATTCCATCCTTGGATCCGTCAGGTCATAATTGGTCAGAAGTGTGTGTGGTCACTGTGTGGACCATGTGGTTTCCCTTCCTGCCTCTCCTTATCTGGCCCATTTTCTTTTATCGCCACTTGTAGATTCTGCAAGCTCTGTAACAAATGGTGCCTTTCTGTTATTAGTATTATGGCACTTGGGCAGCTGCCTAACAAAGCATTCTTTGTTTAGTTCCAAGAAACACAAGATGTAACTCTTTCTTGACTTTCATGAGACTGCACTCTATCGACTTTCCCTCCTTTCCAGCCTCTCCCTGCCTTTTCTCTAGCTCAGCATTGCATGTTGATGATCCGGGGCCTTGCCTTCTTTCTTGCATGTTTTTAGTCATTCCCTGCAAAGCACTTTTTAATGATGTGCTTCATTTCTGTCTGCAAAGTACTTTTTAATGAGACTGAATGCTGTTAAGCATGTCACTCATGCTGTAGGTCAGTAAAGCTCCCACCATTCTGTCTCTTACATATACTTTCATCCTTCACTTAGGACATGTCCATGTGTCTTTTCAGCGTTTCCTCACACTGAGCATTAAAGTCTTTCCCACGAATGTAAAACGAGAGGTCAGTATGAGCAGTGCTGGTTCCCAAAATCATTTATTTTTGAGCTCCTGTCCCAGTTCATTTCTTGTCTCTACCATTCAAGTGTTACTGCTCTCAGGAACATCTGCCTGGCTCGACATTTCATGCCAAACCATCTGTAATATTTGTTTCAACTTCCTGTTTGTTTGCTTATTTACAATGCTGTGGCCCAAAGTGACTTCTTCAGATTCAATGCTGGGTCCTGCCCACTTTTCTGCCACCAGTGACTCTCCTTTTCATATAGCTTGCTTTTCCCAAACTTAGCATTGGCATTCTGACCTCAGGGCTTTTGTACAAATTGTTCTCTTTGCCTGCAATGTCTGCCATCTGTTCCGATTCATGTTGGTCTGTGTCTTTATCTAAAACTTAGGTCTAAAAGAGCACTTCTTACTCTTTTCTTGCTTTAGCTAAAATAACCAGCTTACCATGGTAGCTCCTTCCTATTAGCATGTCTGTTATATCCTTAATAACCCACTCAAGATAATTTTTAGTTTATATGCAATACCTGCATTCCCCAAGTGTATTGTAAAGATTGGAGAGCAGGGACTTAGTCTGGTATAGGGTGGGTCCTCAGTGACTATCTGTAAATTAGATGCATATATGGCAGGACAAGAGTCACACATCAAGAACTTGATATCCCCCACAAGCTAAAACATAATTCAAAAGGAAAGTGCATCTTGCTTTCAGGGGGTTGATTCATTAACTCATGGCTTCACTGGATGTGAGTGGAACATGGTGCTATCAGTCATCTAAGGTTAATTTAATGGGGCATTGATGGAATAGAACCCTTTGGTCAGAAATCAGTGTGCTGCGGAAGGCTGAAAATTGTGGCACACCAGAAAGATTTGGA